AAATTAAATTAGTAATATGAATTTTTAAGAAGTATATCCTAAAAGTAATAGGATTACATGACAAATTATATTTACTTGTTCGATTTTATATGAATTAGATAGCCCAAAAATAATTATACTAAAAAGGTTCATAAAGGCAATCATGTAGGATTATTATGAGTAATAAGATTATAAGGCTAATATTTAGAATGCCGGTTGCGTCCTTTTATTATGAGTTATTATGCTTAACATTATAAGGTTATTTTTGTAGACCTACATTGTATTCATGCTTTTATAATAATTCAAACTGTTAATTAATTAATTCAAACTGTTAGTTGCTATTCATTGTCCTTGATAACTTAACAAACACAATTTATAAAAATATGAAACTAACTCAAATCATCTGCTAAAGTAATAAAGTGTAATTAATAGATGTTATCAACTTTTATAATACAACAATATTACCAATTTTGTATTGTTAAGTTAATGTTAGTTGTAGTACGACTGGAGTTTATTTACTTTCAATTTATCCACAAAATTGAATAAATTAGAGTACCGCAATCTCTTACTCTTCCAACCAGATATCAATTGAACATTTTGTTCGTAACATCTCTATTATAATATTTAATTTTCTTTTTAATGTGTGTATTATGGATTTGGACAATATAATACATTCTCAAATTAAATTAGTAATAGGACATTATAATACGTTTTAAAATTAAATTACTAATAGGAATTTTTAAGAAGTATATCCTAAAAGTTATAAGATTACATGACTAAAGATATTTACTTGTTTAATTTTACATGAATTAGACATCCCGAAAGTAATTATACTAATAGGATTCCTAAAGGTAATCACATAGGATTCCTAACGTGTAGTATTATGTCCTAAAACTAATAGGATTATAAGGTTAATATCTAATTCCAGTTATGTCTTTTTATTATGAGTTACTATGCTTAATATTATAAGGTTATTTTTGTAAACCGACATTGTATTCATGCTTTTATAATAATAATAAATAATAATATAGAAGATAATATGTCCTACTCCTAATACATATGGGATTAGGATTATTTACTCCTATTTACATAACTATTCTAACAAAGCAGAGAATGGAGTTATAGTCGTGACTACCAATGAATTATTGTGGTAGAAGCAGTTGCTAGAGGAGTTAGGAGTACACTAACGTCATTCTATGGAAGTCTTTTGTTATAACTAGTTACCCCTGAATATAGCACACAATGTAGTTTTATATAAGAATTAAACACATTGAAATCAACTCACTTTGTTCGAGAGAAGTTACGAACCCATGATGTTTCATAACATCATCTGGTAGTTCCAATGATCAATCGGCTGATATTATTATGAAAACTCTTATAAATCCCCCAGTAAATTACAGTTGTAACAAGTTGCCTACGCACATTGGATACATTATAATAATAATATACATACCGATATGTATGTATGTAGACAACATTCTAGCTTGAGGAGGAGTATTCATGGTAAGATAGCAAACAAAATAGACTCTAACTTTATATATTGGTTCTTTTGTGCTCACTTGTAAATATTACGCATGTATCTCATATATGAGGCGCGTAAAGTTTGGCCAATGGCCTAGCACAGAATTCTCTCCCAATCTAAACGTCTTGACACGTGAATTTTGACATAAGTTGTAATTTAGAAGTTTTAATGCTGGTTGACACATTGTTGATCCGGTTTGCTGACTACATCTTATATGCAATGGTGAAGTTGTTAGCAACTACATTAACAGAAATATAACCAAGATTTACGCACTTACTCAATTTACAGAATCCGCACCTAGCAAGAGCTTATTCTCGTGCCGGCCTTGGCAATCACGCATTCGGTCGAAGCATTGCAGCTTTTCAGAGTCCTGAAAGGGAGGGCTGGTTTCAGGTGAAAAGAGAGAAAAAATCAGTATCAGAGTGTTAACTTTGTGATACTGATATTTTCTAGAGGTATATCGAACCTTATCTTCTCTGTGATTTCTTCAATTCCCAGGGAACTGCTGATGCTATAAGAAGACGTTTGCTGGTATATACTAGAGGAGTATCCAGTGGTGAGTTTTTAGTCCCTCGTGGTTACCATCTTAGTAAAACGGATTTCCAAAAACTCTTAAAAGCCCGCCAAAACAACACAGCCGACACAACTGTTGCAGTTTGAAGCAGAAAATTGTTCAAGCATACAGAAATTGGAACTTTCCTAGTGAATTCTATAATTTAAGTTATGAGTTCAAAGACAAACCAGACAACAGCGTATTTCTTTTTCTTTTTCATTCATATCTTCCTATTCCTTGATAGCATCTTTAGTCTCCTTTTATCTCATCATATCATTTCACACTACTAAGAAAAGTATGAACAAGATTGAGTGTGTAATATCAGGTGCAGAAGTCAGAAAAATTCAATGAAATTGCTCATGAAAATTTCCCCAGCATGGATATCTATGTTGCTAATAGAAATGCCATGATAAAACTTCTGATATAAAACAACCATGGCTGATGACTTCAGAAGAGAAGTGATACCAGGTGCACTTTCCTTAGGATTGAATGTAAGGTCTTCTATTAGATGGCTTTGAGTTTTGGTCAAAATCTTTGAATGAAAATATTTCCTTCCCTTGTTTAAAAGATATCAAAAAATGCTGTTATTTATTTATTTATTTATTTATAAGGTATACTACTTTAGTTTAAAAAAATAGTACCAAGAACGTACCAAAGAGTTTACAAGGGATCCAGGCTTAAACAGCAGCTATACAGACTTCAGCAGGTCCATGATACCAGAAATGCTAATGACAGAATCTCCTCTAAGCTGACAAAACATATTCTGAAATCATCTAAACTTAACAAAGCATTCAACTCTTCTGTTCCTTCAAAGCATCTTTTGTTCCTTTTGAGCCATACAGTCCAGATAATGCATAATGGTATTAATTTCCATATCTTCTTCAGTCTGATCTTCATACTTTGTCCTCGCCAACAAATAAGTACATCTTTGAAGCTTCGCTGAATCACCTAGTTAACACCAATAATATCCAGAAACATGGTCCATATCAACCATGAATGATTACAATGCAGCAGAAAAATGTTGTTTAATCTTACATAAGACCAGCTTTTCCTTGAGACAAACTAGGTATTTGTACACAAAATAGACGGGTATTGAAAGGGCATGAGAAGCATTGAAATACCACCAGGCAAATATGGGAAGCACAACGAATACAAACAAGTTCTCTGCCAGAAATTCAAATACGAGGAAACCTCAAAGAATGAACACATTGAACACCTAGAATAGGTCGCTCAAAAGGTAACACAAAACTTCATTTTTCGTAGCAGCTTTCTATGACAGATTCTCCATTATACGTTTGCCTCGACACCTGCCTCCAATTCTGTTAAATGATGCTATTGTAAGCGACTCTGTCATCGCAGATGCTTTCGTTCTTAATGTATAAAGCTGATCATTCTCTTTCATAGCACAGGAGTTTAGACACTTAATCAGAATCAAGACTATATAAGCAGTCAATGTCATAAACATATGAGATGGTGCAATAATTAAGGATTCCATGAAGCAACTAAGATCTGAGACCTACTAAGTAAGACGCGTGCATACATTTCGTTTGCATTCATTAGATGGTTACCTTAAGTACCTGAAAACCACAACACTACAGTTCATCTATAAGTGAAATTCGGTTGGAGAGATCCCTTCACACTTCGACCAGCTTCGATTGTTATCATCCTGCCACTAGGAATCCTTCAGCTTCTGGGGTAAAGGTCACCTAACTTGAAAATGTGCAGAGTGGTACTGCCTAGGAAATCCACATTCCTATAGGAATTGGAGAAGGCTCAGAAATAACGAGAGCAATATTTGAAAAGAAAGCAGGGATTGGCAAAGATGTTAAGGTACTTCCAATTAGGAGATTCCTGTCATGCTCAAAGAGCACCTTAATTACTTGCTGCATTGGAAATTGTCAGACAACTAAACAAGTTGTTTTGACCTTGATGACTTTCATCTCCTTTCCATTTTATCCTTCGAAACAATGCATTTTCTAATATGGAAAAGCAAAAGCAAAGATTAATCATGTACATGCTCAAGCTACAGTATCAGGCATTACAGAGCAAATCTTTCATTGAATACAGTAAAAATTTTGACATTTCCTTACCAAAATTACCAGCTATACAACTTCAAATATTCTCTGCCTTAAAGGCTGAAACAACCCATACACGTGCATAAATCCTCTCAGCAGGCGCATTTAAAGTAGCTTGTGTGGTGGCTATGTGTGCATGAAACTAACCATGCTAATCTAGAAGTCCTCTCTACTCCAGCATGTGCTTTTACAGCTCTCTGTGTGCTTGTAAACGAAGACATTCTAGATTACATGCTTCGGGTTGGATCAGGGGGGAAAGGTGTTGCAGGTAGGCGGACAATGGCAGGCTTATGTCTGGCTCCTTCAGACATTGGGATTGTTGTACAAAGTTAACAGAAAATGGAAGCTCCAGACTCTCATTTCATTATGAGTAAAGAAATAAAAGTTGAGTAAACTTCTCCTCCAGGAGATAGATCTCTCCTTGTACTTACATGCTACTTAATTTGGTTCTCTTAAAGATTGTTACCATATTACATCTCACATCATACATCAGGACAGAGCATGGTCCATCTTTATTAACCTGGACAATGAAAGAGCTCCATAGCTTGTTTTGGGTGGATATATGTAAATGGTGCCTGTTTAACTCAAGATAATTTGATGAAGAGAGGTTTTTCAATTCAGTAATAGATGTTACCTATGCCAAAGATACATGAACCTTGCAAATTGACTCTTAGCATCAGACTAAGTTAATTTAGGATAAACAATCAAGAAAAGGAGAAAGAAGTAAGAAACTGGCTAGAAATCAAATTGCTTCGGACATCAAGTTAGATGTTGGAGCTACATAAACAGAAACCTAGAGTTTAATTTAAAAGAAATACAAAATAAGCAAACATCAGGCTGCTTACACTATGCTACATGATCCACAATAAGTTTAGAGACCTAAAGTGGAGGCCAAGCATGTCGCATCAACATCAGGGGTGAACCAAATAGGAGCTGGTAGAATCCTTTGTATCTTGTCTACTTCGACAGGGTAGTAACAGGATAAAAAGCTTCCTTCTTTACAGTCATAAATCCCCAAATCATGACCTCCACAATTAGGCTCCTTCCTAAATATGTAAGCATAAGTTAGATCATCTGTAAAGTAAATAGAATTGGGCCTCAATTCCGGGAACATGGTGGTCGACAAAGCAAAGCCGGGATTGGAACCAATGAAGAATGCACGATTGCCAAGGCTGCCAGGCAAGTATTGAAGCTCCACATGATCATGGTCTATAAAATCAAGCTTGAAAACATCAAAAGTTTGAGTCTTGTAGGGACATTCACGCTCAACATTGTCTACAGGCAATACCAAAGTCCCATCTTGGGCAATGCCATGTGCTATGTAGCGTGTAACAATAAAAAGCTCCTGGCTTTGGTGGTCATATACCAAGTAATCAGCGTCCCAACAGTACAATGACTTGCACTCCAGCTCAGCATCATCCGCAGCAGAACAGGGCCAATCATCACTGCAACCTATATCTTCAATCTGAATGAGAAACCTCTTAGTTGGATCATTGTGGAGATCCCAAGCTTCAAGCTCCTTATCTTGGGTGAGAGCAAAAAATAGTTTCTTTCCACTGTGGAACACAACTTGAGTGTACAAACATAAGGGACCGTCGAGTGCAGTCCACGAATTGGCTTCAGCTATGGCAGGCCTCCTGCAGAATGCGAGTCTCTGGAGGGACCCATAAATAACCAACGCTATGCAGTCCTCATCCATAGGATCAGGGGATGAAAGGATCATCTTTTCGACAATGTATGAAGACATACGTTGTGGGGTTAAGGGAATGGATTTGTGGTTAAGAAAGCATTCGACTCTGACACTGTTCCGAAAAACGCCGTTAACACAGGGGAAAGTTTCAATGGATGGAAGCTGGATAGTCTTACCAGAAAGTAGGTTAAACATAAAGAGAAGACAATCTTTAGGCTGTATACAAACAAGCCATCCCTTGGATAATGAACCCAAGCAAACGGAATCAATATCAGGCATCACCACTTGGTCTTCCTGCTGCTCAAGTTGTACTTGTATGACATCCCCTTCTGTCGGTCTGTAGAATTTGAAGACGGTGCTGTCCTCCTTAAACTCCGGCAGTAGCATCAACCAAGGAGCCACACATCTGCTCACCACAGGACCACCACAACTTCTATTGTCGGCATCAATCAGTTCACTAATTAGCCCATTCATTATTTCCTTTGGAACACAGTTCTGACCACCAACGAAGAGCTAGCCATGATTGAATTCTTTGAGCAAGACACAGGAACCTCCCAACCGTATTTATAGAATCAAGAATCTAAGTATCCCTTTAATAGTCAGAATCTTCTATCTATAATTAAAAGCAGAAGAAAAACTCCTACCGTTAAGCCAAGTGGCATCATCCCAAACTGTCACTTGGCACTCTAACACATTGCTCCAACTAATTAGGAACTAAAATTTTATAAAGCTGCCGTACAATTTTATTTGGAATAAAACTGCCGTACAAAATTTAGTACAACTTTCAGAATATTTTAATTTTTTTAAGTATTATTAAATGATTTTACATGTGAAAACCGGTTACTTCATAAATATTAGTTTAAAAACTTTTTACTTTCCACTTACCCTATATTATCTCTGCAAAATCACAATAATCAGAGTGTCCTCAACTATCTAAACCACGATTGAAAGTTACGATTGAAATCCACTATACTGGGTAACAACTGCTCAAAACTGCAAATTTATATTTCTTCCACTAATACACGGTACTTCACTAATCTTCCTACTGCTATCAAGATTTCTAGAAAACTTACGGCTTATGCAGAAGATGGCTACTCACATTGATTTCATCAAGGATATAACAATTTCGAAGATGCAATGGAAGTTGAAAGTTCGGCTGTCCGTCTGTGGGAAGTACCGGATCGTTTTAATCCAGACACTACATTCTCGATTGAATTGGTTCTACAAGATGAAAAGGTATTTTAAATATGTTGTTGCCTTGCAAATTCGTTTTGCTCTCTCTTTCTGAACTTGCTAATTCGTTTTGCTCTTTCTTTCAAAATCAGTAGACAGATCTAATCCTATTTATGTTGTGTTGTAAACTATTAAAGCACACCAAAACCCAACTTCAATATTATCGTGAAAAAGAAAAGACTGGGATTTAGAAACTGTTTTTTAAGTTGCAAAAGATACAAATCCGTTCAAATATATTGTTGAAAAGTAGAAACTGATTCATTTTGTTCTCTGCTTTTTAAACTTGCAAATCTAAATCTATTTTTCTGTATCTTTGACTTACAAATTCGTTCAAATATATTGTTGAAAAGTAGAAACTAACTTTTTTGTTCGCTGCTTCTTACGCTGCTCTATTTCTACTGTTGAAAAGTAGTATTATTCTACTGTTGAAAAGTAGTATTAATATGAATTAAGTTCCCATGTGGAGTTGAAAAGTAGTATTATTCAACTTTACTGTTGAAAAGTAGTATTAATATAAATTTGTTCAAATATTTTATAAAAAGTAGAAACTAATTCCTTTTGTTCTCTGTTTCTTTAGTTGCAAATATGAATTTGTTGCTATGTGTCTTTGACTTGCTAATTCTTTCAAGTCTACTGTTGAAAAGTAGTATTTGAAATGCAACCCAGTTTTAAGAAAATAGTGAACAAATGAATCGTCCTCAAAACAGTTGTAGAAATATAAAGAGGGAACAAAAGGGTTTAAAAAAATGGTTTGGAATTAGCAAAAACAGTTAAAGTTGCAAATCTGAAATTTTTGCTCTATTTCTATCACTTATTAATTTGTTCAACTCTACTGTTGAAAAGTAGAGTTAATATAAATTAGTATTACTATAAAAATTTGTAATCTCTGTTATTTAATGTAATTTCTTTGTAGGGCGATCGGATACATGCTTCTATTGGCAAGTCAGTTTTGCATCTTTTCAAAACACAAATTAATGAGCTTGGATTACATCTTATGGCGAACTTTATCGTTTGCCAAAACAAGGAGAGGTTCAACACCACAAAACATAGATTGAGGCTGACGTTTACTCAATGGACAACAGTGGCCGAAATAATTGATCCACTTTTTCCAATGAATATCTTTGATATGCGACCATATCATCAATTGATAAATAAAGTTGATGTGAACGAGAGTGAATTATTCGGTAATAATAACTTTTACCTTAATAATCTAATTATTAACTTTAATGCTATTTATTTTAACATCTTTTTTTTCTTTAGATGTGATCGGAGAAATTATCAATTTTAGTGAGGTGCACACGCAAGAAAAAGGTAAAATTTCCAGGAAGTGTATGGATATCGAACTAGAAGATGATGAGTAAGAATAAACAGGCATCCATGGATTAAGGATAGATTTGATAATTACATATGCTAAAATTTATATCACTATTTCTATTTGACAGGAGGAACAAGTTATCTACTACATTCTGGGGCGAATTTGTTGATCATGTTTTGCCTCACTTGCTAAGTTCTAACAATCATCCTATATTGTTGTTATGCAGCTCATAAAAGCCCATAAATTTCAAGGTAAAATGTAGCTATTCAATTATACATTACTTTGTGAAAGTTATTTATTACATCTTGCACGTACTTTTTTTTGCAGATTCATATTCTGTGCGCAATACTTTGAATGCATCAAAGTTGTGGATTAATCCTACTTTTCCTCAATCTGACGAGTTTAAAACACGGTTTAATATATTTTTTCCATGTATCTACACTCATATCTATTTTTTCAAGTATAGTTCTAACTCTTTTACTCATTTATAAATATAGATTACTTTCTGTTCGGGATAGTTACTCTGAGAGGCTGACTCAAATCATCTCTCAACAAAGTTATTCTGTTTCGGATGAGATAGAGAAGAGCATTGTTGAAGTTAAAACAATTGGCCAATTAGTGGAGTCCGTGCAAGTGAGTTAACTATTTTTATCTTCTTTCTTTGAAATTTCGAAAGACCATCTTTTCTATTTGTTTTCTTCTAATCTTTCAGCCTTTGTTCTCCTATTTTATGGCATTAAAATGTGATTAAACATTTAGAATATGATAAGTTTTTATATGACACATACTCCATTTGCATAAATATGTAGAGTTTAACTAATGTAATTTGGTATAATATTGGATGGAGGATATGACAGCTCTGTTTATTCACTGAAATCGTCGGGGGCTAATGCTTTTTCTTTATATGTTCACCTCTCATATGACATATTGGTTACTAATGGATGACAACCATAATTTTTCTAATATAAAGTATGCCTAATTTATATCATTCATGATTTGCATACGCTCTCTCTCAACCTCACTATTTAAAGTATCATCATTTTATTAAACAGGAAGGTCCCTGTTGGATTGTCGCAAGTATTGAAAATTTAGAACTTGAAAAAGGATGGTCGTATGTCAGCTGCAAGAAGTGTCAAAAACGTACATTTATTTTTCTTCAGGAACAATGGCTGGAAACGTTATGAAGTCTGCAACAACAATAGTTGGAGAAAATCAATATCAATGGCAGCAGAAGTTGGCAAAATACAAAGACGAGCTCTCCAAGGGAGTTTCGGGTTATTGGAAACTTGGGTCATGGAAACCACTATGCTCGCCATCAAGCTCGCTTAAGCAAAGATGTTCTCCTTGCTGGACAAGATTAGCCATATGATCCAGAGAGAAAGGAGATGAAAGCAAAACAAAAAGGACCCAAGTGTGACAGAATATCATTCTGTCAAGGCTTTCATTCTCCCAGCAACTTTAATGAGGACATACCAATGAAGTTTGAGAATCTGCAATTTGAAAAGTTAACTTTCCAGTAAGTTTGAAGAATATTATGCTATAAAACTATGTTTGATTAACTTATGTACTAACTACTATGTGAACAACCTATAATTCTTTATACAAAGGAAGGACAAAAATACTACATACAAAATAAATAGCATAATTAGATATCAGTTAAATAAGTCATGATTCATATGAGTTCTATTTGGAACAAGACTATGTAGATCGCAAGCTGATTGAAAGGTGAAAGAAGGTGTTTTTTTGCAACATCCTCTACATCTTAAGAATCTGTTTGTTTCTTATATTTAATTCTTTCCTATTTCTTGTGTTTTGACATGCAACCTCGATATGAGTGTCTCTGCATATAATATCAACCAAATGTCCATTGTCATGTCCCCAAGCACCTTAGGAAAGTTGTTGTACTAGAGTATGTACATTGTGGATATCAAGGTTCTGCAAATGGGGAGTAATTATTTTCCCCTAACTGTATGTTATGAAGTCTGATTTTTCTATCTCAAAATACTATGGCTTTGTCGTATTTTTGAATTTTTAAGGCATTAGAAACCGTTGTTTGTGGCAATCTAGCTGGTATACATGACTTGCTTTATTGTGGCTATAAAGAACATTACTGGACTTAAGGAAATAACTGTGTGTTTTTTTTTATTATGTTTCCTTACTACTTTATTATATGAATATCCATTACATTAACATGTTCCAAAAAATAATAGCATTTCCATGTTTTTTGTATATATCATCTTTTCTAAGATATATTTTCTTAGGAAAAAATATATTTATTACTCTCCGCGCAACGTGCGGGTACGGATACTAGTATCATTAATAGAGAAGGAGAGTGAGAGAATAGTAGAGAGATAAAGATGAGAGAGAGAATGAGTTTGTGTATTAAAATTCATCTGTCTATTACAAGACCCGGATCTCCTTTATATAATGGAGGATCCTTACTTAATTAACGGGAAGATAAAACTAGAGTACATCCTATAACAGAGCCGACGATAATGCGGGGTCGTTTCCTTTTTTGCCCCTGGGTCGTCCCCTTATGTCGACTCGTAGGTATTCGGTAGTCGGTCGTGTTGACTTTGGGACGTGATCGATCAAATTCGACCCCATACAGTTAGTCTCTCCGCTCGTCGGGGTCGCAACGAGATGTGTCCTCGATGGGCGGAATCAATGCTTCCGTCAAGGAGAGTTTGACTTGATGAAATATTACGACGTGACCGGTGGGAGACGGTAATCATATCTGTCAGAGCGTTGAGGTAAAACACTCTCCCTAGGTGACGTCAGCGTTCATATGCGTCATCATTACGCGTATTCTCGAGGCAAAAAGGTTGGCGCTATGGCGCTTGGTTTCCCGTGCTGATTTGAAGTCTGCCGCCTCGATTCTGGCGCCACCCAACCCTATAAATAGGGGAAGGGTTCAATTTCGTTGAAGAACTTTGGTCATTTTTGAGAATTTCCCAGCCCTCCTCTATTGATTTTCATATTCCTGCGCTTCCGCTCTTGATCAGGGGTTCTTCTTCTTTTTTATTCTGCTGTGTACGACTTTCTCCGAACAAGATCACGCCTAAATCTTGCCGTACCAACGAAACAGTTCCTGAGGCTGCTCCGTTGAACGCGCCACCCTTCTCCGATGGCGGAGAGGTGGAGGTAGAGGGGGACGTCAGTCCTCTTACGGTGGAAGCATTATTACCGAGGCATTCTTTGTCTCGGTGTGATTTCAATAAGGATTCCCCCACTATTCCGATTCCAGAGCTTTCCAAGACGCAACAGAATCACTTGGATGACCTCCACACTAAATACGGTATCCCTGCCCACGTAGAGATGGTCCTGGCGGGGGGAGACTACGTTGACGTTCATAGGCCGGGGTATTGTGCCTTCTACGAATACCTATTTCTCATAGGTCACGACCTTCCTCTTTTTCCCCTGGCAGAAGAGTTCTGCAGATTCTATAACATCTGCCGGCTCAACTTACGCCATACACGCTTAAAGTGCTTCTGCTGCTGGCCAAGTACGAGTTGGGCGAATGTGACGTCTCTGTTCATCATCTCTTGCATTTGTTTACAGCCGGTTTCCTTAGAGGAACCATGGTGCATTTGAGAATCCGTGGTACGAAGGGGTTAGTGGTCGGAACAGACGGCCGGGCGAGCCGTTGATTCTGGCGCAAGTATTTCTTTATCAGGACCGAGCACGTGGTCTCTAACCCCACTGGATTTCCAGAGAGGTGGAACAGGACACGTAAGTGTTGTAGTTTATTAGGTTCTTCGTTGCATGCTATTACTGCAACTCTAATTTTTGCATTGCAGCCATGGCTCGTCCGCCCTAGCCCGTTGTCGGTCTTAGGAACTGGGTCGCCGGTCTGCTACCTCACGCGGAGGAGACTCGAACTTGGCCTGCCTTTCTGCGACGTTACGGCCCTAAAGTTTCCTCAGGTAAACTTCTGATTATTTTCTCGTCGGGTGTACGACCTTGCTTACCTGTATGATTTTATGACAACAGGTCGAGGTGCTTCTAGGAGGAAAGCGCCAGTCTCTACTTTCATGCGACCCAACGTCGCCTCGGACGCTTAGGATATATTATGCGAGTCTGTCCGAGAGGGTCATCTTCTAACTTCTCAACAGGGGGCCACGTTCACAACTGCGGCTATGGGGGAGCCGACCTCGCTGGCACCGGCCCCGCAACCTGTCGACGAATCTTCCAATAGTGAAGAGCCGTCGGAAAGAAAAAGGAGGAGACTAGAGATGGGAAAGGGGGTGGCCACTGAAGCTGACGGAAGTGGGCACCCCGGACGATGCCAAGGCCAGTGTTCATGGCTGATGCCATTCTATCGGGGAGGTCAGCCCAGGAGAGGAGGGCCGCCCCTGGAGCTAGTTTGGTATGTCCCGCCGAAGGGGGCTCATCAACTAACGTCGGAAGGCCTGGCGTGGAAGCTGATGAGTCGGGTTCCGACGTTGCCCCGGAGGACGTAAACGAATTTTGGATCATTATACCCATGTGGAGATGACGACGGAGGGGTCTGACCGTCGCATAGTGATCCCGGGAGACTACAACTTGCTGTTAAATAGTGAGAAGGTCGCATCGACCCTTACCCTTTTATGTGCCGCTCCTGAGAGTGAGACGCTCAAAACGATGAATGATATGGAGTTGTCTCGGAAGGTCGCCGGCATGGCCTTACAGGTAGGTTTCCTCACCCCCCTTTTTTTGCGTATTGTAGGACCGTCATGGAAATGTGCTTAAGTTCTATTTTTTTTAGACCCTCGTCCTGGAGGTGGAGAGAGATCGTCATGAGCGGAAGAGGACGGACCTCTATAGGAAGATGTTGACGAAGTGTCGAAAGTATCGCACTAAGCACCGAGCGATGGCCGACCTCTACCAACAGGACCCTGAGTTCCAAGTGTTCTGCGAGGGGATTAAGCAGAGGGAAGCCCAGTTGGAACGTAGGGGGGCGAAGCTGGAGGAGACGGATGGGGAGCTTGTGAGGGCCGTTGCTCGTAGCAGCGAGTTGGAGGCCCTCCTTAGGGCGAAGGAGGATGAACTCGAGTTGAGTCGAGGGGTGACTGCGGAGAATGCGGACCTGCAGCAGAAGGTCGCTGGTTTGACCACCGAGCTGGGTGCCAAGATGGCAGAAGTTGATAGACTCAAGGGCGAGCTAAGTGTTAACGCTGATAAATTGGTTGTGTTACAAAGGCAGGTAGCCCCACCGAGGTCAGAAGAAGCATATTGTCATTCTCCGCCCTCCTCATCTCGTCCTCCATCTGGTCGGGGTTCACCTCGTAGCACATATGAGATGTGGGTCTATGCAGAGGCTCGACTTGATTTATATAGAGCTTTTCACGCTGCGGGCCGGGCGACGGAGGTGGAGGTTCGGGCAGCGCATGATGGGGCACGTACCGCTTGCGAATCATGTGGGTATGACCCTAACTCTCCTGATGGGGAGGATGTTACTTCTTAGGACGTCAACCGCCTTGACTCAGATTCATGGTATGAAGATGCTTATCCCGCAGGGGGTAATGAGTAGTTTAAGTTAGTCTGTTTTGTTTTCGCATTTTTTGGCTGTGGGTTGTACTAAGGCCCGTCCGTAGGCACGAATGTAAATGATTTTTGTTGTAATATAAACTCTTGTTTTTGTCGCTTCGTCTATTTGCTACTTTTCCCCCTTTTTTGGGTTTTTTATGACACTTAGTCTCCGCAGAGGTTGTTTTTACTACTGTTAAAAGATTTTATCGTGGTTCGAATGAGGTCGAACTAATGATGGCCTTGGCCATTAGGATGTTGCTTCGACTATCGTCGAAGTAGTATCCGTCGTGGTTCGAACGAGGTCGAACTAATGATGGCCTTGGCCATTAGGATGTTGGTGGTTCGAACGAGGTCGAACTAATGGGCCTTGGCCATTAGGATGTTGCTTCGACTGTCGTCGAAGTAGTATCTGTCGTGGTTCGAACGAGGTCGAACTGATGGTGGCCTTGGCCATTAGGATGTTGCTTTGACTGTCGTCGAAGTAGTGTCCGTCGTGGTTTGAACGAGGTCGAACTGATGGCCTTGGCCATTAGGACGTTGCTTCGACTATCATTGAAGTAGTATCCGTCGTGGTTTGAACGAGGTCGAACGGATGATGGCCTTGGCCATTAGGATGTTGCTTCGACTGTCATCGAAGTAGTATCCGTCATGGTTCGAACGAGGTCGAGCTGATGGCCTTGGCCATTAGGACGTTGCTTCGACTGTCGTCTAAGTAGTATCCGTCGTTGTTCGAACGAGGTCGAACTGATGATGGCCTTGGCCATTAGGATGTTGCTTCAACTGTTGTCGAACTAGTATCCGTCGTGGTTCGAACGAGG